CCCCTTGTATAAAGATGTCATGAGCAGATCAGGACCCTTAGAAAATGTACAAATAACATCCAGCTCTCACTGGACAGAGGGTGGAAGGTTCATTAAATGCAAAATAAAAAAAAAAAAAAAAAAAAAAAAAAAAAAAAAAAAAAAAAGGGAGTTTAATGTGATACATGAAAATATTAACCTTTTCGCCCACTGCTATAGATAGAATCTTAAGCATCCTCTAAACACCTACACATTGGAAGACTCAGTGCCCAGAGAGACAGGCACTACCAGGAACGGGTGGACCCTGTAAGGGAAGGGCTTAGCAGGAGGTCTCTAGGTCATTGGAGGGATGCCGTAAAAAGGGACAGAAAAACCCAGCCCATTTTTCTTCCTTTCCTCTACATCCTAGCTATAAGGTGAGCAGTTGGGCTCTCCATGCACTCCCACCACCGTGTTTCACCCAACGCAACACATCCAATAAATCGAAGACCGAGACCTCTAAATCTGTGAGCCAAAGTAAACCTTTTCCCTTCATAAATTGATTAGATCACATATGTTTATAGTAATGGAAAGTTTACTCGTACAATCACAAACAGGTATTACTCTTCCTTTTTTCATTTTACATATTTGGTACATGGTCTCACTAATCAGCTCAGACTCATAATGATCCTCCTGTTTTTAGCTTCCCCAACGCTGGGATTACAGGCATGAGCCACCTTGCCCAGTCTTGATGAGCAGGTATTACTCATTTAATTTAAAAACCCTAACAACTACTAAGTGCTGTGTTCAGAAAGTATTGTATAAGCTGGCTGTATAGTGCTTTAAGAAAAATGTGGGAAAGTCAAATTTGGAAACTACAGATTTCCACCAAAAAGATGCCCACTGTTTCTTTATGATTATTCAAGAATACATATTGCTTACTGTAATATTTATTGCTAAAATATCCCTAGATGAGTAAATATGGAAGAAATTATTCTTTTCCCTATTTATATTTATGTAACTAAATTTACAATAACCACTTACGACACAATGATGTTTAGTGAGTCTGCCGTCCAATGCAGTCTCTCTCTTTTCCAGGATAATCACTCACTCTGAATCACATATGTTTCCTATAGCCTTAATTCACTCATAAGATTCTAAACATAACAGTGCTAAAATCCAAGCTGTCAGAAAACACCCTCTGAAAGGGGATACGTGTGGAAATGAGGATACTGGTGGCTCTGGCACCATCCTTACCCACACTGTCTGCAAGCAGCAAACAAATCAACTGCTTTGATGGAAACCAAACATTTACTGCATTTTCCTTAATATTCCAAATGTCTACTAGAAAGTAAAAGTGAGGGAGGAAAAAAAGTTTGTTTATAATGACTAGTGATCATCTCTCTTTATCAAGGTGCTCCCAGATCACCTACTCATCTTTCCAGAGACTTGCCCAAAATACAATATTAAGTAGAATTTTTGTATGAGTCATAGGACCCCTGATCTTTTTCTTTTAGAATAGAAAGAAGTCTTCCTTCTGGTCATATAGCAAATAAGAACTGAAATAAATTGGAAATGCACAGTATTTTTCTAATTATGAATTTGGGGTGGAAGTACCACTGATTCACTTATTTTGGTTGGAGTTACACATATTACCCTAAAATAGTCATATCCACACTGATGCCTTATTATTAACGGTTACAAATTCTACCTAACATTGCCCCAATGAGAAATCCTCATAAAAATATAAAATATTCATGCAACCAAATATGAAATATTACCTACCCAGGATAAAATATCAGGATGCTCTGAAACAGAAGCAAATGAGTTGGAGTGTGAGCACAGAAAATGCACTAAGGAAGAAACAGAACAGAGAGAGAAGTATTCAGTAAAGAGTAATCTTCTATCCAATAGCACTAATGATTATAATAATATTAACTGAAGAAAAGATATAAAGAAGGAACTGAGAATGAAGACCAGGAGAGTTAGGGCCGAAGTGAGGATAGCCAGGATAGAAAAATAGAGCAGGCCTGCCACACTGGACAATGGCTTAGAAAAATCAAACTGGGGAAAAAAGAAGACAAATCTAAGGAATGCTATGGAAAAGATATATCATGGTCAATATAGATTTCAAGCTTTGGATCTAAAATTCAAAAATTCTAAATTGGCTGGATTGAACTAGCAGAACTTCAGAAAATGGTAACATTATGATCTTAAAAATTAAAATAAATTATCTTTCAATCACCCAGATAGATAAGAAAGCATAAGAAGGCTAATGAAGCTAAAGTTGATGTTTTACTAAAATATTCAAAATGTTAAATTTGAGACACGGTTCTTTAATACAATCATTGTCCATCCATTAAAGTGGATTATAAAATTTAACAGCAATGACAAGTTTTATCTCACATGATGCAATCAACTTCCTATGCATAATGGAAATAAATAATATTTAATGAGTAGTGATCCATGTCAGGCATTCCTCAACACATTTTATATTAAATTAATTTTAACAACAAACTTAGGAAGAAGGTACTGATATTATCCTCAGTTTCCTCATCAGGGAACTGAGTTTCCTGATGAAGAAACTGAGGCACTAAAATGCTAAGTAATCTTCCTAAAGTCATACAGCTAGCAAGTACAGAGGCAGGATTCAAACTACATGTAAAGTTACATACCCTTAACACTGCTGTCCCTCAAAGAAAAATGCGGCATTAGGTCTGGCCACCTGGATAAGCATTGAACAAAGTTTGGGCTCTCTGGGGATGTGACCTGGGATTTAAGTATTGACTTTAAACTTTAAATAAACTAAATGTGGCAGAGTTCATCTGAGGAAAGTATGATTTGCATATTGGGCAGCTCTCAGAACCAGAAAAGATTAAGAGAGCCCTATCAAACAAGATGGGGGAAAAAAAGTAACATCCATAGCAGCTTTATTAGTTATAGTTTGGTATCTGTCTAAAGGGACATGATCTGCTTACTTAGCTGCTATGATAGGTTGAAGCATCACTATTTATTATCTTTTTATTTTTTTTGGTGGAACCCGGGATTGAACTCAGGCCCTTGCACTTGCCAGGCAAGTGCTTATTCTACTGAGCTATCTCCCCGGCCCAGCTTCACTATTTATACACAAAATTCAGATGCATTTTTTACATAGAGAGGTAGATTTAGACCAAATCTAATTTAACTTAACATTAGCTAGTGTGCTAGCCTTTTGGAGCATCACTTAGACCCTGTACAATACAATTTCCTTTGATGAAATTAAGGATTCTAATACTTCATTTACAAGGCAAACTTTGAGGCTTAGAGAACTTAATGTAAGTAAAATGCCCAAACCCAAGATCTGATTCAAAAGGCAGTTAGTCAGTGATGGTTGAGACTATATTTATACACAATACACAAAAGATAATAAAGTATGCATCATACTTGTGAAAAATGTCTATTTGTATTCTTTATTTATTTACAGGGTCTTGCTATGCAGCGCAGATTCATAGTGATCCTCCTGTCTCAGCCTCCCCAGTGTTGGGATTACAGGCATGGGCTACCATGCCTGCTTTTGGTGGCCAGCACAGCACACCCAGTATTCTGGGGCTGGCACAGTACGGTACCAGGGATCAAACCCACCCTTGCCAGGCAGGCACTTAGACTGCCAAGCTATCTCCCCACCTTCAACTTGTATTCTTAAATAGCATTTACAGTAAAGCACAGATAGTCAATGACATAGTTTTAAAATATTTTCATTCTAGGATATAAGTTGTTTTCCACAGAGAATACTGTACCTCTTTGATGATTTTCACCCCTTTTGGATCCTTGATATTCACAGCTATACTCTAAAAATCAAAATGTGTACATTAAAATATTATCATAAAGATATTTCTTATTACTGACAGTTCAACAAGAAAGCCATTAATATTATAGGTTCTCCTCTATTTTCCCCATAAGACTTATTTAAGTATTTTTACTAACTTTATTTGTACTTAGGATATATTAGAACAATAGCTAGTATTATAGTAAATACTTCACAGCAGTAACACTGAGTATCAGACACTTAAAACCCTTTAAAAAAAGAACATTTGTAAAGAATCTACTAAATTCTCTTTTCTATGAAATTTCTATTATAGATTCTCATGAAATGTTTTAAGTTTAGAAAAGGAAGATTAGTAAAAACTTCTAATGAAGGGATGGCCAGATAGCTCAACAGACTAAAGCACCTGCTTAGGCAGAGTACAGCTGTGGTGCTGGCCCCGCCCCCAGGGCACACTGAGATGTTGATTGAGACTGGGCATGGCAGTGCACACCTGTAATCCCAGCGTTTGGGAGGCTGAACACAGGAGAATCACTATGAGTCCGATCAACATAGTGAGACCCTGTAGATCCTATAGACTCTGTACTAAATAAATAATAAATAAAAAACTCTAATGCTTCTATTTGATACCTGGGGAATGAATAGAAATTAATCACATTTGAATCACTAATTATATCCACAAAAAATCCATGATAATGTCAAATGCCCTGTTATTACAAGAGAGTTACACAAATAAAGGAGAGCGAGAGAGAGGGAGAGAGGGAGAGAGGGAGAGAGGGA